CGGCCTCCGTGAAATCGGAGAAAATAGCTAATATAAGTAAACATGCGGAAGGATTAGCAGCTAGGACGTAGTTTGAATTTTCTGTCTTTCCTTGAAAATCGTAAATAAATATAATAATTTGACTTCAACGACTGAATTTTTTTTTAAAAAAACGGGATATTTATAAATAAATAAAAACGAAACTTTTAGAGAATCTGAGTTTTTGATAAAAAGGCTGAAATTCGAGAGAAAAAACCGAAAAAAATTTCATCCCTGCATAAAGGTCAACCAGTTTTATCCCAAGGAAATGATTTTTAGAGAAACTTTCAAGAATGGCTAAATTTCAGAAGGGACGAAGCACGTTATTCGCCCCCTCAATTTAAATTCACAGTAAAATAAGTAATTTTTGATTTCGAAAATAACCTTAAAGTTGAAAAANTGGAAAAATCTGAGAAAAAGCGGAAATCCGCGAATCCGCGGAAGAATCTCATCTCTGTATTTAACATCTATTTTTTAAAGCAATGAATAATTTTGCTGCATCATAATATGGAAAATGTTCTATATCTACCTTTATCAGCTATTCTCATTAGGTTACTCAAATGCTTATCAGTCAATCCGTTACGATAATTTGTTTTAATTCGGTTTGGGATGCTAAAAGACCTTTCAACAGATGCTGAACTATTCGGAATCACTAAGTAAATTTGCAGCATTGTGCACACACTTTCCCATCCTCTATATCTGCCAGCATACGCTTTTCAATAACTTTTGGTATAGAATAGTGAAGTGCGAAGCTTCCTCCAAAATGTGCGAGATTCATGCATTTTGAAATTGATTAATAGAGTGCGCGGTAATCATTCTTAATGCGAGAAAAGAAAAAAATATGCGAGATATGTAGTGAAAACACTAACTGCCCTCAGTAGACTAATAACAGGGTGCAAACTGCTAAGATTTGGTATCGGGAAGCGCTATTTTTTCGGTAAAAAACGGGGTATGTACTGGTGGCAAAATTGTTGCCTAGGAGTTAAGATATTCAGTACAGGCCTGTGCTATTTCCCCTTAATATATATTTTTTAAAAAATTTTAGTACTAATAAAATTATAATTTTCTAGGTTTGCAATATTTGATCCTCTTATAGGATGTCACGAAACTTCAGCCAATTGAAATGCGCCAAACAGGTTGGCTATGAAAAAAAAACGCCACAAAACTAATGCGTACAGGTAACAAATCAGTTCATGGCATACCATTAAATGCCAGTTTAAAAGAAAAAAGGTACAGTATTTAAAAATGAAAATAAATATAAAAAAATGACCTAGCAATTAATGACTGGTCATTTTTTAAAAAATAAATAAATGTAATATAAATATAAGCAAAAATATACAATACTTGACTATCTTTTTTCAGTCACCACCTTTCAGTTCATTCCTTTGTTTGAGTAATGTCAAATAATTCTCCTGCACATTTTTTGCTTTCTCTTCAAAATTAATCATCTTTTGTTTCACAGTAAGCAGTTCTGTGCAAAAAAAAATTTAGTAATAATGAGAAATAAAACGTTATTGAAAATTTCTAGAATTAAATAGCGAAACTTGTCCAGAGAAATTATGAATATATAGATACAAAAATAATGCAAGAAAAATATTAAATAAATGGAAATAACTATAACCAATACTAAAATTATTAATTTGAAATAGAGAAAAAGCTTAATGCAAAAAAATAATTTTTTATTTGTTTTTTAAATCTACACATCCATATAAAAACTAGTAAAAACATCCATGAAATTAAGAGACAGGCGAGCAATTTTGAGATTAATTGAGCAGATGCAATAATACAAATAAAAACAATAATGAGGAATTCCACCGGCCAAGCAAGCTATTTAGACTCTACTCCTATACTACGAGGACCATTTTTTAATTCCTTGGGAACAAATGTGTTCAGTTACAGTTATGTAGGTAAATTACACGGTCAGTTCTGTATCTTTAAAATGTTCAAGTTTTACAAATCATCCGCCGCGTATGAGGTACAACTTGTCAGCTGCATACATTTACCGGCAGATTTGTAAAGTTTACAAAGCTTCTTACTGGCACGCTGACAGGATATTTTGCAACTCCATGACAATTATTCACTCATGAGCTTTTTTGGACTCTTTAAGCAGGGGAGTTTTGGACTACCCCTCAATACAGTCAAGACCTTGAGCTGAGTGATTTTCATTTTTTCTGATATTTCAACCAGTACAAAGCTGACAAAGATGTGAAAATGGTCATGACCTCTTGGTTATCGGAGCAGATGACAAGTGAATACTAAGAGGATATTCTAAATCTAGTTGTAAAGTATGATAATTGTTTAAGCAAACTCGACAACTATTTTGAAAAAAAGAGAAATGTATGTAGAATTAAAAAATTAATTTATTTCATGAAAAGTTACTTTCGATCGGCTTTTATTTTCAAACGGCCCTTACTTTAAAAACAGCCCTCCTAATAAGGTTGAATTGATGAAAAAAAAAGGCACCTAAGGTGTATCTAATGGGACGCTTTGATATTAATTATTTTATTCATACTTAATGGTTACTTCAAATTAAAATTAGAAAATGCTTAATTTTACTTAGAAAATTATTGAAATCTATTTTATAAGCTAGGATTGTTTCTATTTTTTTGTATATTCAATATCCTTTCATTGGTTTTTATTTAACTATTTAAATTATATATATGTGTGTGTATTTAAAGCATGTGTTAAGTCTGTAATCACTACCTGCATTAATATAGTATCTGATGGTACGGCGTATCCAGTGAAAAGCTTTTTATTTGTGACCAATTTTTGAGGGTGCGGTGTATAAACCAGGGCGACGTTTCGCCGTGAATTTACGCTAAGTCCCAGGAGGAGACGGTGAATTAGAGAAATTTTCAAAAATGCAAACAATTCTTCATCATAAGATCTTTCTAAAACAATTAAATTATAAGAATAGCGCTAATATGTTTCTTTGTACCAAATATAGCAATAAAGAAAATATTAAAACTATTGACTCATACAGTCTCAGGCCAAATTATTAGATGCACTAACTACTTATTTCTGCTTTATAAATTTAATTTAATTCAATCGCTCGACATAAAAATAAATAAAAAATGACCAAAGAGACAAACTTTTACCTGAAGTATTGCAAAATTTACTTTGCAAAAAACTTCAATTCAAGACATTAAATTAAGGTAAAAAATATTGAAATAAATGCATAACATATTTGCTTTATAGATGAAAAACCCTAAGGAACTGGAAGAAATGTCCAAACTTAGATCATAAGTCAGCATTAAGTATGGTTTAAAAATTCCCCGTGGCAGAATCGCGGCGATATGGCAACATTGTCACAGAACGTTACAGAGTTCTTGCAGGAGGAATTTTTCTTTAGGAAATAAAAAATTTTGGTTTTCTTTTCTGCAGAAATGTTCCAAATTTTTTCCCTCAAACTTTATATTTAAAAGATGTCTTTTTCGCATATCAGAAAGGAAAAAATTTTTAATGATTTTTCTATTCTTTTTTTGGGAATAATGAAAAACAAAGAATAATGAAGGGGAAAAAAATTGTTTTCTTTTCCGCCGAGATTTTCAAAAGATTTTTTATCTCTTCTCCAAGATTATTATATTACAATGTATATTATGAAACAAAACTTTAACTTCATTTTTAAAGATTCCTTTCACGCACATCAGAGTGAAAAGAAATGCTCATGATTTATCGATTCTTAAGAATTAAAACAAAATTGATAATGACTGGTTTCAGCTAGAATTTAAATTAAAAAATATAAGGGGAAAATAAACTGAAATTGCAAAAGTTGGAAAGATAATTCCTTATTAGAAATACAATACTTTCATTCAAATTGTTTTTTTTTTCTAATACACCATATTTTGGATTTTAATAAAATTTGAGCCGTGAATTGGGATTTTGTTACGAATTCAGATTTGTAGCAAAATAATGTCCTTTATTTTTAATTTGGTTGAAATAAAATTGATTCAATATTTTTAAAGAAATAAAAACTATGCATACGAAATCATGCATTTGAGTTTTCGCTTTTACGCTCTCAACTCGCGTCAATTCTATCATAAATATATGCAGCGTTTTGATCATTTTTTTGGGCAATTATTGCTACGAATTTATGCTTTGTTTTTTTTAAAACCTGATGTCTTTGATCGCTCAGTTATTATTTATATTCTCGTAAAGTATGTTCGTTTTAAGTATGTCGATGTTCTTGTTAACCGATGCGGTATTTCAATCATTCTTTCAACGCGAAACTGAAATCAATTATTTACTTTTTAATGTGACGATTTTATTGTTTTTCGACTTTCTATTACTAGTGCTACTGAGTTCCAAGGGTTTTTAAGATTCCAGTTATTTCTCTGTTAATATTATTTCGATACGTTAAAATTTTAATTGCGCATTTAAATAAGCACTTTTTGAAGCATTCACTTTATGCCGATACTATCGTAAATCCATGTAGTATTATTATTAAAAGTATCTTGCAGTTATTTCTCTGTTAATATTATTTCGATACCTTAAAATTTTAACTGCGCATTTAAATAGTCACTTTTTGAAGCGTTCACTTTATGCCGATACTATCGCAAATCCATGTAGTATTATTATTAAAAGTATCTTGCAGCTATTTCTCTGTTAATATTATTTCGATACGTTAAAATTTTAATTGCGCATTTAAATAAGCACTTTTTGAAGCTTTCACTTTATGCCGATAATATCGCAAATCCATGTAGTATTATTATTAAAGGTATCTTGCAGAAAGATATTAGTGCTAGAGAGGTTTGTTGCAGAAAGTCCCAAAAAATTCTGCCACAGTGCTTAAAATGAACTTTCAGAAAAACTAAACTCACATTCAATGCTTTTTCCACAAAGTAGGAAATGAAATGAGTACATATTGAAGTATCCTATGAATGACAAAAATGAAATTAGAAAACCAGTAGGGTGAAAGGTGAACAAGCTCAGCAGCAGATCAAAAAGTTTGGAAAATAAGTGGTTTATTGATGATGTTTCAAGAAGATTAATAAGCAAGAAAGATCAATTTTATAACCCTCACTGGTGTGTGTGTGGGGGGGGGACATCTTAGTTCCAAAAAGAAAATGAATTAAAAGAGTCAATAATTAAATTTTGCAATAAATCAATTTTTTTTTAATCTGTTAAATCTTAGTGCATGAAAATAACATCTCAAATGCACATCTATGGAAGAAAATGTCTTATCTTGCAGAGTTTACAATAAAACTCCATCTTATTGCAATGTCAAACATTATGCCCTTTTATGTTCAATAATTTTAAAAATGTAAATGCTAATATGAAAGGAAAATTCTGATCTTGAAAGAAAGTGCATAACCTTTAATAAAATTAAGTATTTTAAAAAATATGCTGACATAGATGATTTCTAATTAGCTATGATTTCAAAAATAATTTAAATTCAAATAACAACAATTAGATAATAGAAACATAATATTTTTTCATGAAATGAACCAAGAACAATTTCAGAAAGATCCAAAAATTTTCAAAAATTATAGAAGCTTTAAAAAATAAAGAATTTTTACAATCCCATATGAATTGGATTAAACTATTAAAAGGTAATTCTCCACAAATAGTCTAAAATAATGTAAAAGGACATTTTGGCTTTTTCAGAAAAATAGAAAAGTTATTTATTCAATATATAGTTTGAAGAAGTCTTTATTGCATTATCTAATAAGTTTGAAGTATTATTTGAAATAATTTTTTCATTAATCTTTAAGCCAATGAAGTCTTATAACCGCACTCGCCACCTACACTGAAAAACATATACTTTTCTTCTTCAACTTTTATAAAGAAAAATTAACACTTATAGTGTATGAAATGAATTTTTTGGTCGTTAAATGAACTTATTATTAGGCATAAAAGTTTCAATCTTACATTTCATATTGATGGCGTTATTATTTGCGTCGAAACAGTACAAGTGTTCTAAGAATATGTTTTGATAAAACTGTAAAACAAACTTCAAAAAATTGGGAGAAGTTTATCAGTACATAAAAAAGAAACTGAAAAAATAAATTTGACACACTCATTTCCTCATTTAAATATATGAAGTTAATTTATTTTCTAAAAATGTATTTAAAAGAGTTTTAACCTCCTATAATGGGATAGTTAAAGAACATATAATCTTATTTTTATTTTATTCATGGGTTAAACATCAAAAGCAAATAATGAGACTTCTTCAATCCCTGACTGGGAGAAAATGACACTTTTGTGAGGGATTCATTCTAATGCATTAAAAGAGAAGATAAAAAAAAATATTTTTGTTTGACTTTCTTATTTTTTTAAGCAGTTAAGGACTGACATATACTTAAATACATTCATGAAAGTTATTATTTTAAACATGTTTATAACTATAATTAATTTTCCAACACAATACACAATTTCCAACACCATTTTCTCAATTTAATAAAATCATTTTTTAAAAACTAAGCGTGACTGTTATGTTTTTCTTATCTAGTACCTACTCCTGTATCTTATTACAAAAAACAATTATTTATTTATTCATGTCACTATAAAAAAATAGTCAATTCATATTGATTGACCCAAAAACTAACATCTGTAAATACATCTGTAGACAAGATAAAATCAAGTAAGAATTCCTTTGACTTGATCCTTTCAGCATTCAAGAAAAAAAAATACAGTTTCAAGAAATCAATTAAAATATTGAAGATACGGCATTAAAAAATTCATTTGGATAAACCATTCACATTAATGTGATATTGTAAGGATATCCCCTATTTTAATTTAATATAATATTATATATCAATAAGCAACCAAATATAGATAAACAAACTGGATTTCAACAAGATTGTTAGAAAAATATAAAAACCAAAACAAAAAATAACCTTATCTACAAATACTGATAGCAAAGGAAATTTTTTAAAAAAAATAATTACATTGAATGATTTTTAAAACCTATTTTTGAGTCGACTAAAAATAAATCTGTTTAAAAAAAAAAAAAAAAAGATGGATCGTTCTCACCAGACTTTTTTATATCGAATTCTTCTTCTAACTTCTTGATCTTATTCATATTTTTGTAACATAAATCAGATTTAGTAGAGGAATCCACCTAAAAAATAAAGCCTATTTAATTGCCTTAGATGACAGAAAAAATTTAACAGAACTAGACCAAGAACTAAACAAACTGATATAGCATTGCTAATAAAAAGTTTTATTGATATTTGGTAAGATGTTTATCTATGTTACGATAAATTTAAACCTTTTTTAAAACTTAGTTGAGAAAAAAAATTTTCATCTTTCATATCTTAAATAGTTCAAATGCAGAGAAAAATAATAATCAAGATATGAAAACAATATTAAAGTGTAAGCATTTTTTTTCTATTTTTTCGAAAAATTAAACAGAAACTGCACAACAGTCAGGCATTAAAAAAAAAAGTAATAATAATAATTAAAAAAGAAATATCACCTATTTTAAATATTTTAAAGCCACAAAAAGTAGAGTAAATTTTAGTTTTTATTTGTTTTTTTAACCCTCATCTGCCTAATACACTCATAAAAAACACACAAAATAAACTAATGCTCTCTAATGCATTAAATAAATTATTATCTGAACTTAAATTGTTGTTCAATCTTCCAACATGCATGCTTTTCAGTAAAATAAAAATTCAATTCATAATTGTCTTTTGAGTTTTCTCTGTAAAACAACTTGTAATTTTTCAATTATTCAAGATAATGATTATTGGTACATTAAAAATTAGATGCATTGAAATTAAAATTTAATACATTTTTATAATAAAATAACAAAGTATTTATTATAATATTCTTTTACACACATTTGTAGAAATCTCATATCACAAATAAAATAATAAATGATAACGAATACAATGAAGTTAATGCTACTGATTTTTATGAGAATATCGTAGAATATTGAACACATTTCCACATTCAATTATGCCACCACCCATTGTTTCATCCAAATATTGATGAGCAATTAAAACCAAATAAGCCCCCCATTCACCTTCCACACCCAGAGTTAGATAATAGGTTAAGTGCCTACATGCACGAAAAAATTCTTAAGTTCAAAAGATACAATTTTAAAATTAAAGGATTGCACACATAATTGAAAAAAATAAAGTATCATAATTTGATCATTATAATACAAAAATTAAATATTGTAACGCAAATTTGATTGATTTAAAAATCAAACATTGTGATTTGTATTAACGCAGTTAAAGAATCGCACATTGTGAATCGTATTCACATGATTTAGGAATCCAATAACAATTTATGTTCATGTCTTTTTAAAATACAATATTGTAATTCCTATTCACACGATTTTGATATCAAACATCGGTTCCCAACGAAGAGCAATGTTATTTGTTTTTCACTCGGTGCTCATTGCATTGCATTTACAGTTGGCCTTACGTAACGCTCAATTTTGTATTCTGATGTTCGACGTCAAATAATTGATTTTTTACTTCCACGCATTGTTGGTGTGTGCTCTATTTTATCACAGAAAGTAATATCATTTGGTTTTTATTCAATGCACTTTGCTTTGATATATATTCTGCCATCATATAGTGCTCAAATTTATATTATGATATGTTAGAACACCTAATTGTATTTCTGTCATCGCATTGCTCGAGAGCAATTATTTTTGTAACCGACAGAGAGCAGTGTTATTCGGTTTTTGCTCAGTTGATTTGCTGCTGCATAAATTGTTGCCTGCAAAATGCCTGACTTTGTATCCCAATGTTTGATGTCACGCAATCGTAATAAAAGAATTTCTATTTTCTCACTCAGGGTTCCCACTCTTTTAACAAAGCAAGAATTAAGCACTTTTAAGGACTTTTTTTGAAAAATTAAGGACTTTTTTGAAAAAATTAAGGACCTTAAAAATAGTATGATTGTTTATTATCGAATAAATATATATAACCAGTAATAGTGCTAATCATTTAACTTTCTTAAAAAAATTCAATAAATAAAATAATAAAAAACAATTTTATTATAATGTAAGTACTGATAAAATTGTAATAATTAACAGGGCTTGCCAAAGTAGGACCAGACATTTTTTGCAACTCCGGGTTGGGTTTTTTAAAACATTTTCAGATTGCTAAGGATTAACGACATTAATGAAACTTATCTGTAATTCCTTTTTAATCATTTCATTGAAATTGAATTGTAAAATTAGGTGCAGAAATTAAAATTTGCAATTTTTTTCATATATTAATAAGAAAAGAAGAAAGAAATTTGGGAAAAAATTATTACAAGTTTTTATATTTCGCATTACATATTCAGCTGTATGCCAATCTTGGTAAATATTCAGCTACACCAAAAAATTTCTTCTTTTTTTTTCTATTAACAAAATGTTTCATTTATTAGGGTATATATTTAAAAAATTAATACTAAGAAGTTAAATTAGAGTTATGCATGAGAAGTTTTCTTTACTATATCATGTTAAATCCTATTTCACGTAAAAACAGGTTATACTAGTATTTAAACACCTTAAATCATTCCACTTTTTTTTTCATTAGGCTTAACTTATTTTTTTTATTTTTTTAAATTCATTGAAATCAATATTTTTATAGAATAAAAATACAATTACGTTTAAGATTTAAAATTTTCAAACCAATATGTTTTTATTATTTCTCCGTGATACATATAAATAAAAGGGTGTAAAATGATTTTTCAAAGGTATCAACACATTCTTATGGCCAGAAAATTAGTAAGGTAACTTAATCAACAAATATTGATAAATTAATTATTTTTTCATCATTTATAGATATTTACTTGTAATATTTCTTTATCATCCTCTATCATTCTTATTATTATTCTCTACTATTATGATTTGATATTTTATTTTTATTGTCAATTAATAATTTTGAAGAAATATCTTGAAAAATTTTATGAAAAACATATTGAAAACCGTATCTAACTTAACCATTTTGAAATTATTACTCATCAGCAAATGTGTTATACTTACTTTTATGACGAGCTTTACAATTATTTCCGACCAAAACTGGCATTAGGAATCAACTTTACATAATATTACTAAACAATCTGCCGAAAAAAAGCACTATCTTTTCCATGTGCAGTATCCCCCTTGTCCCCACACTATTCTTTTCTTTTAGAATGTCACTGTTCTCATAGAACATCCTTCTAGGCAAAAGGCGGAATATATTAATGAAAGAACCAATATATTAATAAAAGGACATGTTTTCTTCTCCTTGCCTGTAGTCCTCCCTCACACAACCCTTCTTTTCTCCCTAAAATGCTTTACTCTTGGTGCATGGTCTAATTTTAAGTGATAAAAGAACGACTTTTTGTTTTAAAACACTGAACTAAAGAATTGTTCCTATAATCTATAGTGATGCTGAAAAATTAAGCACTTTTAAAAACCTTCTGCTAAAATTAAGTACTTATAAGGGCCCTTATTTTTCAAAATGAAAGTTAAGCAGTTTTTAAGGACTTTTAAGAACCTTGAGAACCCTGTCACTAATCGCTTTTAACAATGCAATCGTTATAATTTGAAAAAGAAGAGTAAAGGTGAAAGGCAAGTTATTTAAAATACCATTTATTTATTTCAATAATTTAACCTTGCTTTCTATTGTTTTATACTTAATAAAATTTAATAATACTTCCACTTTAATATATTTTCGGTTTTATTAAATTTGCATTTTTCCCTTGCTACTGTTAATCCCTCCACTATGTGGCAATTTCCGTCAAAATTTATGAGATCTTAATTGGTATTTTATGACAGAATTGAGCTTGTCAATAACTATAAACTAAATCAACAATGATTTAAATTTATAGAAATAGCAGTGGCTGTCCAAAATTAAAATTGGCCATCAACTAAATCTAAAATTAAAAAAATCTATTTTAGAGAAAATAAAAGATATTGCTTCAACAATAAAATATTTTTTTAACACAGTTTCCTCGAAATAAACCCTTTTCTTTAAGAACAAAATCTGGTAAACTGGAGAAAAAATTTTTTAATCGATACTAACTTCCTTTGTAGATTTCAGCAATTTTTCAAGATTTTCAGTAGTAGCTTGAGCGTTTTTAGCAGCATCTTCATTTTTAACAAGGAGATCAGCTTCATCGAGAATCAAAACAACAAGTCGACGAATAACTCTGTAAATATTTTTGTTACACAAATAAGAACATTAAAATAATAATAATTTTCTTATTACATAGCAAATTACATAAATGTTTTAAAAAAATAGTTGTAGGGTAAAAAATATTTGTTCTGACAAAATGAAATATACACCCTTTTAATAAGTACATTGAAAGACTCAAAAACTATAGGAGTTTAATTCTGGTTCGACACAAATCTATGATTTTCTGTTATAATATTAGTAAGCCATATAAGAGACTATCACTCTAGCTCATCTTCTAGCTATTACAACAATACATCTAATGACCATTAATTTTGCCTATAACAGCAGGCATGTAATGTAAATAATATCTATATTTTTTATGCTTTTAATACACAATTTATAGTATTAATATGAATGAAGTATTCAAGGCTGTAGTGGAGAAACTATGCAGGGCAATAAAGTACCTCTTCACTAGTTTTTTAATAAAACCCATTTTTTTCTTCAACTTTTCAATTTTTTATTAATAGTAAAATTTTAAATTTAAAAATTGTAAGTGTTATAAAATGCAACAGCAAGAAAAGCAAACTCAGCTGAGAATAGTAATATTGTTACCAAGAACACTTTTCTAAAGATTTAGTAAATGTATATATAGCGGAACGCTATTTTACGCTGTCCATTTTACACATTATTGCGCTTATGTCATGTTCTGCTGGTCCGAGAAAATCGCCTGTATCAATCATGTTAAATTATCCTAGATTTTTACAACACCCTTTTTAAGGAAATTCTGCTTTATGTGCCTTTCTAACAGATCAAAAACATTTCTTCTCTACAAAGCCCATATACATTTTTTCTGAGTTTTTTTCTATTCTAAAGAAAAAATACGGGTTTATTAGCTTTTTCGAGATTCTTCCGATTCTAACTTATTGTTACCTTTTGTCAGTGAGAGAGGAAAAGGAAGTATGGAGCTTAAACTGCAAAATTTGCAAGTAAAATCTGCAAAATGCTTCAAAAGCAAAAAGTAAAGGTTCTGGAAACTCAGAATTTGATTTCCACAGTGTTGGACAATGCATTACATGCGGGTTTAATAAATTTTCTCAAGGTGAATTATTTCTTGGTGTACCATATGAACACTGGCTCTTTGGAATAAAATTGAATATCTGAAGATCTTTCAAAGTCGCTGATGCGTATATCAACTGCAAAACACATCCCATTACTTCTCAATTCTTTCAATATCTGTTTTAATGCCTTCTTTTCATGATATTAATGAAAACAATGAAGATGAGCAAAAAATATCAAAGGATATACCCAGAACTGATGCATAAGATCTTTAAAACATTTGCAAATGTAAACCACAAAACAAATTTGTAAACAATAGTAAGTATTGAGATTGAGATTGTTGGAATTTAATCTAAAAATGAAAAACGTGCAAAGATTACACACTTTATCAAGTATTTCCCCTTGTGTCAATTTTTTTTAAAAAAAAGTTGAATTTTGTTTATAAACATTGTTTATACACAAAATATATAACATAATATAATTTTTTACATTATTTATATTTTGTTTTACGTTATCCAGTTTCATGAGTTTCTAAAGGCTAGTTTGACGGAAAAAGTTAAAATCAGAGTTCTGCTGTATATCATTATATGAATTATGTATGAGTTTGTATTTTGTAATAACTTTACTTTTATATACATAGCATTTAATTATGTGAAGAATTTAAACTAAATAGTACAAATCTTGAATAAAAGTGATTATCATTAAAAGAATTTTAAGACAAATGCAGTTGAAAATAAAATGATCCAACGTATCTTCAACTAAGATCACAAAATATGCACAATTCAATGCATACAATATCTGCATAAGCTAAATAGTATCGTACTAAACTCAACTTTAAATAATTAATTAAATTTTTTTATATTTCAAGTGTCTTTTTTTATGTCTATGCCAAAGTATTTTTAACATAATTTCTATTTTATTTTTAAAAAAATAGTTACAGGCCATCTTAAATTTCTGACACACAGAAACTTTAACACTGGTTATAAGTACTCAGCCATTCATGAAAGCTTTTGCTCTTTTTTACATACATGTATCAATAGTAATATCAAAATTGTGCAAAATTTTGTAGAAAAAATATGTAAATGTCAGCTAAAAGTTAAAATTTGTAAAGATAAAAACGATCTGTACTTACAGCCAAAGAAAAACAGCAAAACCAGAAATGTAATAATTTCTTTGAGATCTGAAAAGCTTTACATTTGTTTGTAATTCAGAATCAAACTCTACAGAATGAGGCCTCAATGAATATTTTCTCATATCTCGAATCGAATCTATAAATATTGATAAAATAGCATAGATGTTTCTACTTATTCTCAATTACAGTTCTAAAAAGTTTTAGTTACAGTACTAAAAGCAGTTCATAAGAGGAAATCAAAACTTTCTGAAATATATAATTTGATCATTTTATTAATCATTTTGGCAGATTCACAACATAAATTCAGAAAATATGGCATAGAAAAGAAAATGATTAGAAGATATTTCAGACAAGTTAAGCACGTTTATAAAACAAATTCTGTTTACAAACTATTGGAAATCTACAATACGGAAACCATGTGTGCTAACCTTGGTACTCCATTGACAAAAATAACTATAGTGATCAGTAACCAGGTTTGGCAAAGGTGGGCAAAGCCCAGAAAAACCCAGCCGGATTTTGTGGATTATGCCCACTTAAAAAAAAAAATTATAAAATAAAATAAACATTTTTATACCGATTAAGTGGAGTTTTTCACAAATTTAATTTCCAATCAATTTTCTTCGAAATTATCAAAGCAAATTGTTCTTTGAAATTATCAACTTATTGTTTTATAAATTTAACATAGTAACTTTTTATACAAAATTATATGAGATAAAACATATTTCAGTAATCTGATTTTTCAACCAAAATTATGATGAACAAACGAGCTAAATACTTGAAAAAATAAAGTACATGATTAAAAAAACATATTGCTCAATCATGATATATTACTTGTCTATTAAAGAAACTATGTGTAATATGCATATTACTTATTGCTTAATTTATTTGGTTAGTAAACCCTACTCGTTAAAATGCATCAATGGATATATATTACATATATTCAATATTTCGAAATGAATATTATTATTTTTTTTAGACAAAGAATGCACACAAAAAATTTTCGGGTAAAAAATAAAAATCCTGTATTGAGTATGTTAAAAGATAAGACTAAAATAGTCCTATTTTATATGAAATCTCTATTATAGACTGTACCCATTTCTATCTAATGAAACTTCTGCAAAAAATAATAATAATAATCTACATTTAAAGCTAAATTTTAGAATATTGAACCCAGAATTGGCAGAAAACCATAATTTAGAATATCCAAAACATCTAATCTAATTATTCACTGTTTCTTCTATGACAGCTGGAATAGAGCGAATATTTTCCAATTTTAAATTAGTTCACTTCTAACTGTAAAATCAATCAGGTACATTAAATTTTTACTTTCTGTTACATTTAAATATTTCAATAATAAGAAATAAAGAAAGACTTAATATTTTAGATTTTTAGTTTCATGAAATTGTCATAGCACTTGAGATTAAATTTATATTTCACATTTTAACAAGTACCAAAGATCTATTTTATTAAATATTTATGAATATAAGTTTTGTTAGCTAACATTTCATTTGATGAAAATTTTCTAATTACAAAAGATAGATTAAATTATATAGTCAACAGATAATTATTTATTAATGAAATGTGAATGCACATTGTATACATTGGATGCTCATGATATATTCATTCACACATAATTATCAATTAAGTTTAATGAACATTTCTGCATGTTCATTAAAATCTTAAATTATATACTTGAAATGCTGAAAAACAAATGTTTAAATTTGTTTTTACTTTTTTCCATTCATATCTAAAACAAAATATAGAATAAAAATAAAAACTGATAAATATATGAGCATTGTGAAGGATAAAGAATTCATACACTGAAAAATAAAAATGAGCAACAAAAAGATAAGTGCATTTCGTTTCCTGAATATTTACAATGCATCCAGAAATTCCATTCATTAACTTTAAATCAAATTTTGCATTTATTTATAATTTTAAACTAATATCATATCTCATTATACTTTATATTTTACAAAGAATCATTTCAATAACTTCATCAGTACGCAATTTATTATAAATTTAATAAGCAAAAAAAAATAAATAAATAAATAAAAGACTAAAAAAGTTATTCTCATAACAATTTCTTTTATTAATCCCTTTGGTAATAAAGAAGCAATATCTTTTGATCATTTAATACATCATGTCTGGAA